AACAACTAACGAAGAAGACTATGGGGAAGAAAAGAGAAGCATTGAAAGGTTAAGAGTCAAGTTACCTGTGGAAAAACTTAAAGTAAAATGGAAAAAGAAAAGAAAAAATATTAGCTTAAAAATAGATAGTATTAGTGTTTTTACGGAAGAAAAGTATTTTAGATAGCCAAATAAAATTAGGATTAGATAGATTAGAATTAGATAATAGTATAGCAGAAGGGTATTCAGTTAAACTTGACTTAACAAAACTAAATCAAGACCTCTTTGAGGTCTATAAGGCTTCCAAGGCAACTTGGTAAAAGCCTTCTAGGCAGAGACTATAAACCTCTACCTAGTATAACAGATCACTTTTGGGTATCTATAGAGATAGCTGAGGAATGTTGGGCCTAAATATTAAGCTCAACATTATATAACTAGTTTTATATAATAATCTTAATAAAAGATCACTAGCAAGGTTGCCAAAGAGAAAAAAAAAAAAAAAAAAATTAAATATAGTATATGCAATAGGATTTTTTAAAATAGTGTACCTGCATCATGGTGCACCCCTTTATATAAAGCAAAATATAATCACATGATTATACTTATAATAACAATACACTGCATGTGATTTGTACAACATATCAGGTATTCTTAATCAAAAATCGTGCTTTTGGAAGGTCTGAAAATTGTTACATGAAATCTAATTATAATTGGTGTCATTATGTTAATACTACATTACTAGAAATTGTATAACAATTATCAGACCTCATGAAGACATATTTTGATTGAGAACGCCTCATATACTGTAGTCAAGTGATTTATAAACCTATAGTTCTTTATTAGAATTAGTGAAACAGAACCTATTGCTACATATACAGTTTGTAACCTTCGATTTCTTTTTACAGTTTTATGTTCACAAGTTTGCTTATTATTATATTGAATATTATATACTATACTACCTTAACTAGAAAGAACTTTTTTGATACTAACACTAACCTTAACCTTAAAAAATATATATGTACAGTTAAGTTTCGATTATATGCTTTATCACTATGCATATTCATCTTGGCATCACTTATATATAGACAATATAGTCAATTAAGCCGATTTTTAACAAATTTAGATTAACTCCAAGTAGTTCATTGCTTATTATTTGTACATTAATATTAGCAACAGATATGAAAAGATAGAGCATTATATGCAATAAAACTGCAATTCATGACAATACCGATACATAGTGATATAGTAACATTACCTATAAAAACGCTGAAATACAAGTGATAAAGAAAGACATTATGTTTTATATGTGATATTTTTAAATTCAACAACTTTCTATCGCTACGTAATAGACCTCAATTTAACTCAAACCTAACTTCGTTCTAACAATTCTACATTTTATTTAATAAAGAAGCATATAAGTGAATTAAAACCAACATTTACCAATTTCTATCAATATTTTCTTGAAAAAACTTACTTTGTCTACAATCTTGCATACTTACTTTAATGTTTTATTCAGACAATTTGCGATATTATGGCCTGGCTCTTTGCAAAATTCACAAGTATACTGCCCATGTTTTTTTTTTCTAACAATTCTACATTTTATTTAATAAAGAAGCATATAAGTGAATTAAAACCAACATTTACCAATTTCTATCAATATTTTCTTGAAAAAACTTACTTTGTCTACAATCTTGCATACTTACTTTAATGTTTTATTCAGACAATTTGCGATATTATGGCCTGGCTCTTTGCAAAATTCACAAGTATACTGCCCATGTTTTTTTTTATTTGCTTCTTGTGTTGTAATATTCATGATATCCTTATTATGATGACTTGCTGCTTTTGGTCTTCCTCTACCAACTACTTTCCAAGGATTCTCAAGCTGGATCATACTAACCTCTGTATTTTCAACAATATTTTGACTAGTTGAGACTACTATTTCTTGTGATCTAACTAATTCTTCCTCTCTAGTACGAACCCTATTCAAATAATTTTCAATTAACAGAATAAACTCATTATCATGATGTAACATGCATTTGTTTACAGCAGTACGTGCAAGACCCCAAACTTTCCTATAAAAAAGCATTTCATCAATAAAATTATCATCGGTAATCTCTTCTGTTTTACTATTAGCAAATAGTTGTAACCATATATACTGATTCTTATTGCTCATAGTTATATCTGTATCAGTAGTTTTATCTTTAATATTACTAAAACGCTGACCAAAGTACACACATTCCTTTACTGCATCTAATTGTTGGGATTTAGGAATCCAACATGGTGCAATCAATTGCAAACTAAATTGTGCCTTAATAGTAATATTTAGGAGATGGTAAAAATAACGACAAACAAGCCCTTTACTTTGTTGCAAAAGACAAGTGCAGCTATACGAGCCATCTGAAAGAAGAAATATAAAATGGTTAACCCCTTGACTTGTAACCCTTGATATTTTCCAAATCTCTACAATTGAGGTACATTTTAAACATTCTAAAAGATACATAGCACACAAAACAATAGCATCAGGCTCGTTATCTATATCTTCACTTTGTAAAGATTCGTAAAAGGTAAGTGATTCGATTTCTTCAACTGTAGTACGGCTAGCAGTGTAATATAAACTTTCCTTCATTTGTTCAACCAAAAAGTGTGCAACATTTGGTCTCAGATAACATTTAACTAAAGATTCAATAGAAGGAAAAATAGTAGTTGCATTTGTCATAGAAGGAACACCTCTTTTCCATTCTTCAAATTGCTTTCTTTTTTGTTCCTCTTTGTTACATTCCATTAATACTTTACCTAAATCGCATAGTGACGTGTTGCTATTCTCTAACACCCGCTTGATGTATGCATTCTGACTTTCGACAAATGATGTAGTTTGAATGCCGAGTGTGAATGTCATAGCAGTAAAGGCACGCGCTCACGAAAAGCATCTATTATAGAGATAGCGCTTAAGGTATAATTTTGTAGCAGAAAAGCCTATAAGCTGGTTCCAATAGTATTTGAAGACATGTGGTGTATCTGCATTTCGGCATTGCCAAAACTTGTAATAAAATTCATCAAATTGATCTTCCAACTTCCTTCGTAATATTTTTTTGATGTTTTTCTTGATATGCCAGATGCAAAAGAGGTGTTGCGTCTCTTAATACTCTAAAATTACTGCACATTCTATTGCTAGATCACCGTCAGTCACAAACACATGAGGACATCTATTATTTGTTGCTTTCTTGGTCATTTTAAGGACCCATTGGTATGTTTTAGTTGTCTCATTGCAGACAAAAGCCTGGGCAACAATATGAGACTGCATGTTATCATCTTGGACTATAAATAAAGAAAGAGGCATATTGTATCTGTTAGTACCCATGGTATTATCGTGCCCAACTGCTTT